CACGTTAGTGTCTGCAGAGACTCTTGAAGCCAAGGGCAAGAAGAAACAAGTTCATCTTTGCTTACCAGGCACAAGGCTATTGCTTCAGGCCATAAAGTCATGGAGACTTCCTCCTCCAAGTCATCATTCAAGAATGCCATAGTCACGTCCATGTGCTCAACCTCTATGTCTTTGTGAAATCAACTCCTTCAACTTGTGAGAATCACAAATCTGACTTTGTAGCATGTATCTGCAAGAGGAACTTGGTTTTGATCACTTTCCTATTAGGTGGCAGCTCCACGAGGTCCCAAGTCTGGTTCTCCATCAACAAGTTGTACTCAACTTGATAATCAGGTCTGGAAAGAGCTTCTTCCATGGTCTTCAAAACAAGTGCATCTCGGCCATGGCTAAAAAGAAGTAGAAGCTGGGACTCATCATGTGCCACTTCTTCCTCCATGCTGGAGTTGACAAAATAAGAAGCTAGATCATAGAAGGTCTCAGGAATTAGCAGTGTCACTGATATATCTCTAGTAGCCTTGGCTTCTTGTGGAGAATCCCACTTAGCTATTTGTAGATTCAGCTCCCTGTATTGACATCCAGCCTTTGTGAGTGTGTGCTCACGGCCAGAACATCTCAACTGTCCTCACTAATTTCAGCCCTGGTCTTGCCAACAGCATGCTCACGGCCTTGGTCCCACTACAGCTTTGCTCACCTCCCCTCCAGTGCCATCCACACTCACTACATCGTCCTCGTTGCCACTTGGTTGCCACAAGGTTTTTAGGCTAATTGGATTGTGCGTGCCCTAACGACAAACTAAAGTCGCAAGTTTATCCCATACTAAACCTCATTTGGTGTCTTCTTTGACACTAGCAGATACATAAGGTGGCAATGGCAAAACATTTGGGGCAAACTTGAGTCTCGTAAGAGAGCTCTTGTTGCATCATGGAGTGTGCAATTCATCCTCTTTGATACACTATTCTGCTACTGTGTATATATATAAGATGGAGAACTACCTTTGGATTCTTAGCAAATTCTAGTGAAGTGGACTCACCTTGAATTTCTTCCCAGTTTTTGGGTCTTGAAGTATTGGAACTTCTGAAAGACTTGATGATGTGTGAGAAGTCGTCAATGAAGGTGACAAAATACAACTTGCTAAAATCTCCTTAGCATGAGTAGTGGCAGTCTACCTTACCTAGTACATACAACTCACAAAACTTCATTTCACTTGATGAAGTGATACTCAACCCCTTCACCATCTCTTTGCATGGAGTTCCTGTGGCCAAGCCTTATCTGGAAATCCACTGCTTTCCTTGGTCCTACAAAGAAAGCTCACTCTAGCTACATCACTTTAGCATTCAGATGATACAACCCCTCCCACACACAATTGCAGTGCCTATTGAGCCTGCAATCATGCATATCTACTTCTTGAAAGTGATGTAATCTACTATTTTCCCACTGAAAATAGTGTCTTATTTACCCTAAGAACATAGTAAACATTGTGTACACTCAAGCTTCCATCAGGGTAGATTGTGATGTCGACCGTGCTAACTCCGTGTGAGTAATCATCCCCTAGAAAAATCCATTTTTTTTCCTAGAACTGATCTAAGAGATCATGTGTTTGTTTGCCCCTAAATCAAGCCATATGACCTCTGCCTCGTCCTGGAAGCTAGTGGCCAGATGCTTGTGGCCATGAAAAAGTTGCCATCCTTTGCCATGTTAGCAAAGTTGGCAGACTTTCTCCTACCGGCCACTCTCTATACCTCGGCTTTTCTTGCCTCCTTTGCTCTCTTGGCTTCCTCGTCTGTGCAATCTCTTGCCTAGTGTCCTGGCTTCTTGCAAATGTTGCATAGGTTGTTCTTTTTCTTCTTCTTGAACTTCTTACTGTTCTCGCCTTAGTCATTTCTTGGTCTTAATCTGTTCCACACTATAATTGATTGTTTCCGCTTCCTAGCAAAGAGTGCTAACTCTTTCTCCT